CCCCCCCCCGCCTCAAACCTTTGGGTGAGGGAAGGCAGTGGTGCTTGGTAAACAAGAAAACCTTGCCGGGTGCCACTTGGGATAGAGGAAGGGTGGGGAGAGCCTCACGTGATGTGTCTTCCCCCAAAATAGAAGTGAAAGTCCAGCTGCCCTGATCCATGGCCTCCCAAACCAGATGGGCAGGCCCCATTAGGGCACGTGCAAACGGTCCCATGGCCACCACAGGAACCTCCTGGGAGACTTTCGGGTGAGGCCCAAGTGAATTGAAGCTGCCCATGACCTCCCTCCTCCAGTGGGCAGGCCCTGTCCCCCCACCCTAAGGCAGTCCCTCACGTCCTAGGAGGGTCAGTGCTGGAACCAGGGTTTCCTAACAGAGCACTGGGTGGGTGGGGGTGAAGGGAGAAGGGCAGGACCCTCAGTAAAGCCCCAGGGCTCCTGGACAGCACTGCCCCGAGGAGAGGGAGGCCCAGGCTGGGCTGGCTCAGGGCTGTGGACTGTAGGGGCTACTGGCTGGGGCTGGTGTGGGCTAGAGCCTCGCTGTCTGGGCCTCTGTGATACTTACGTCCCCACATAGGAAGCCTGGGGGCAGGGTGAGCGGGGGGGGGGGGGTCCACCCACAGCCTGGCCTCTAGCAGGTCAGCATAACATACCTTCAGGGGCCCCTGAGAGGCTGAGGCCCCTGCAGGGGGCTGGTGGCAGGGCCTATCTTTCCCAGGCCTGTACCCCAACTGGATAGGGCCTTGGAAGGCCTCAGAGGATGAGGAGATGAGGGTGGGCTTCTGCTAGATGCCCCTCCTTGATTTTGCCTCCAGGAGGCCAACATGGACCCCTAGCTGGGCTGGCTCAGGACCCACGAGAAGGGGAGAGTGTATGGTTCTTGCATTCCCCAGGCTCCCTCTGCTGCTGGCTACCCCCTTTATGGGGAGTGCCCCCTTCTAGGGGGAGTGGTGACTGCTGCCTCTGTTCCCTCACTGTCCAGTCCTTTAAAGGGTGACCAGTATCCTCATGTGCACATGAGAGGTCATGACCAGCCTCAAGGGACAAAGTGGGGGTTCTCGGCTCTGCACTAGCCCCCTAGCAACTCAAGAGTCTGCTGACCCTCCTCACTTCAGGATGAGAAGGAGGGAGGCAGGTGATTCTGAACCACAGCTGCCCCCTATGCTGGGCCTCAGTGTCCCCTCTGAAAATGGGGGTGACATATCATTTTCAGGCCTGTGGTTAGATTCATCCGCTCCTCAGTACAGAGGCATCACACACACTCTGGTCTCATCCACTTGGCTGAAAATATGCCCCCTGCCAGGGGTCCTTCTTTTTCTGTGTCTCTGAGTAGAGGCCTCATGTTAGAAATGTGTTCATTACCAAGATATGAACTCTCTGTGTTTCTGAGTAGAAGCCTCATGTCAGACCTGTGTTCATACCAAGATTAAGCTCGTCTCCTCTGGCCTCAGTTTCCCTATGTGTCAGCTGAACACGGTCACTCCAACCTCAGAGGTGGATTTATAGGGAATGAGAAGTGAGGCATCAATGCCATGTACCACGCTGGGCACCTCCACAGCTCACACTCTCTCCTCTGCCTGGGGCTGCCACCTCATGTGAGGTGGGCTCAGGCTCTCTACAGCCTCAAGCAGATCCAAGCCACTGGGAGGCAAGAGGGGATGGGAGCACATCCCTGGCAGGAGCAGAGGCTGAGTCTAGGCCTGGGGTGTAAGCACAGAGCCCACCCACAGGCTGGGGCTCAGTCAGAGGGCCACTGGCATCCTACGTCCCTCCTCCTATGCCCTGGGCCCAGCCCAGTGTTGGCATAATAAATAATGAACAGCTGAGGGCATGGGTTCACTTCTTATCACAGAGCAAGATGTGTTCCTGCCCCATGTCCAGATGAGGAAACAGGCAGAGAGAACTTAGGGAATGTACTCAGGGTCATTCAGTGGGCTAAAGCATGTCCCCCAGAAATTCATGTCTCCCTGAAACCTCAGAGGAAATTAGTTAAGGACCTTGAGATCTGGACACAGAGAAAAAGGCCATGTGAAGATAGAGGCAGAGAGTGGGGTGATGCTGCCACGTGCCAAGGAGCCACAGGCATTGAAGAGGCAAGGAGGCTCCTTCCCTAGAACCTTCAGAGGGTGCGCAGCTGTGCTGAGATCTCGATTTTGGAATTCTGGCCTCCAGAACTGTGAGAGAATACATTTCTTTTGTTCTAAGCCACCAAGTTCTTGATCGTTTGTTATAGCAGTCTTAGGTCATATAGATAAAAGGCAGATGTATCTTGGACTCAAAATGAGGAGTCCACAGCTTAGGCTGACACCTCTGTCCCCAATCCTGCAGAAGGCTATTGTCCTGAGAACCCTGTCAGGTGCACAGGGACCAGAAGGCATCCCCTAGTCCCCTACAGTTTCTGCCCAGGGAATTGGCTGGGGAAGGTACTTGGCCTGCCCTTGGCTCAGTTTCTATACCTGCCAGGGGAGAACAGGCTCTGTGGGTGATGGGTGATGTGGGCAGGTCCCTCGGGCGCTCTTGGTGCCTGTTGGCCGTTCTACATGGAGGGTGCTGGTAACATTTCCACACCTTCCTTGCTGGACTCTCATTGTGGGACAGTGAGCCAAGGGCCATGAATGGGGCTGGCCCAGGGCCTGGCACACAGTAGGAGTGCAGGAAATGGCAGTGCCACTGCTGCCTGAGGCAGTGTGGGCTGAAGCGGATCCAAGGGCTGGGTGACCTATAGCTTTGCAGGTGCAATGGGAAGGGGCTGGTGTTTCTCTGCAGTCTCTCAGACCACTGTGAAAGTCAGTGTAGAGACTTGGTGACATCTCTCTGCAAGGCCTCCCTGAACTCTGAGCCTGCCCCAGTGTCACCTGAGGTTGGAGGTGTCTAGCCTTTCTAGCACCTCACCAGTGCCCCCACCTCTGTCTGGGGACCTCCAGTAGGACACCCTAGATGAGGGGTGGGGAGCTCACAAAGTTGCCATCAGGGCAAAGCTCAGGACTGGCAGACTCCTAAGGAGCTCCCCAGCAGCACTCTTCCAAGCAAACCCCAACCCGAGTCACCTGTGTGAGTTTGGGTTTGAGTAATGAATGAGTTACGGAGTCCCTACTATGTGCTTGGCACCATGCAGAGGAGTTTATTATGCACAGTTACATTTAATCCCCACAATAGCCTCTGTTACCCATTTTATGGATAAGGAAATTGAGGACCAGAGAGGTAAAATGATTTGCTCAAGACCACACAGCAGGGAAGAGGCAGAACAGAGATCTGAAATAAGTCTGTTTAACTCTTTCCCCTAAATCATCACAGAGAAAGGAGGCAGACCACTCCTCTCTCCTCAGTACTACAAGAGGACAGATGTCTCTTAAGCCACTGAGCAGTCCTCAGGTCAAGGAGATTCCCCAGCAAGAGTCCTTTGCTGCTCTCAGCCCTGTAGGAACAGGCATACCCACTGACAAAAAGGGAAACTGAGGCTGGCACATCCCAGCCCTCTATACAACTGAAGGGACAGAGGATAAGCCTGTGAATAACCATGTGAATGACCACATCCTGCCTAGTGTGCAGAGGACCTCACACTGAGGTCTCTGGCTGGCAGCCCTGTGCCTACAGCCAGAACTCAGGACACATTTGATGAACAGAATAAACATGTGTCCAAGTGACAGCTGGGTTCCTGGTGCCCAAGATCACAGCCACTGGAGTATTTGGCAAAGATTTCACTGACAGGTGTTGGGGGGCCAGGGACAACATCCACTGCCTCTCATGTACAGTCTCCCACGCTTCCCCCAACCCCCCATTTTCCTTTTGGTGGAAATGTCTATTTTTGAGAAGGGCTCAGGAGCAGACACGCTGGGGACCATCATAAACCACCCGTTTTCTGGATCTCAGCCCTGCTCATCAAACAAAGCTGGGGGGTGGGGGGAGGTCCCCCACGCTCCCGTCCCACATGTCTGGGAACAGCCCCCTTGGAGGAGGGTCCTCTAAGGAATGCCTAACAGCTGCCACACCCCCTGCTGACAGCTGGGAGGGCGGAGGCCCGTTCAAGGGAAAACCAGAGGGACCATAAGCAGACACAGGAAGCTGGGGCAGCCCCCGCTGAGCTCCGAGGCTCATCGGGTCATCTGCAAAATGGGAAAAATACTTCCTGCCCTGCTGACCTCCCGGGTGTCACGAGCACCAAAGTAGAGACTTGGAAGACCCTGGCGGGGAGGTGAGCCCGCGGGCTCCGCGCCCGCTCCGCCACCCGCCGGCCCGGCACTTCTGGACCAGCCCTGGGCGCTCGAGGCCCTCGGTCTCTTCTCCTGGAGAGACGTGTTTCTGGAAACACATTGCTCTAAACTTCCCTCCCGGCCCGCACAACTCCGGCGGAACAAGTTCTTCGCAAGCTGAGAAGCGCCGCAGCGCCGCAGGCTGCGCTCCTGCCTCGGGGCAGTCGCTCACCCCTGACCGGCTCTACGGCCTCCTCCCCTGCCTTCGGGCCCCCGCGCCGGTGGGCAGGCCGGGAGGGCGCGGCCTTACCTGTTCCAGGTGGCGTTGGCGCAGGCCCGGCGCTGCTGCGTGCCTCGCTCGTCCGCGGCGGCGGCCGGCTCTCTCTTGCCCAGGTCACTGAGGCTGGGCGAACTCATGAACTTCAACCTGCGGAGAGTCCTCATGGTGACCTGGCCGCTCGCTCCGCGCCCACGCGCGTCCGGCGCCGCGCCCTGCGCCACGCGGCTCCGCGGGCCCTAGCCGGCGCTGCGCCCTCTACACGGAAACTTGGGCGAGAGCAGGAAGCCCAGCGGCCCTGCGGGGTCCCGCCCCGGCCCCGCGCCTCCGCCCCGGGCCCCGCGCCGGCAGCCCTGCCGGGTTAATCATTGCTCTGAGCGGCTCAGCGTGGAAGCACCAGGAGCGCCGCCAGCACCGACCCGGCGCGAGGGGAGGCCGGGGGCGGAGCTTTGGGGACAGAGGCGGGGCCTCGACAAGGGGGCGTGTACGGAGGGGGCGGGGCCGCGAGCTGGGGGAGGGGCCGCGAGCTGAGGGAGGGGCCGGCGACTCTGCGGCCACAGCTGTGGGAGGCCCCCCTTTGTCGGTCCTCCGAGAGGCGCGTTCCGCCAGATCTCCTCTACTGAGAGTCACACGTGCCCGCAGGAAACGCACAGCCCAACCCCAAACGCCGGCTCCAAGCCTAACACTGTGGTCCCACACACACGGTGTCCAGCGACAACCGTGCCCGAGACCACCCCCATCGTCGCCTTGCGCAAAGTCACCCCTTCCTAGACATCCGTCACCGCAAAGGCGGTGGCCAGAGAGATCCTTCAGGACGCCATCACTTGGACAGAGGTTCCTCCGCGGTTCTGTAGAAGACTTTGGGGCGACGCCTTCATTGGCCTCCTGGCGCCTCCGGCCAGAAACTCACTCTAGGGGTCCAACCTCGGCCTGGTACCATAGACCCCTCTTCAGGTAGGGACTTCATCCCTGTGCGGCTGCCTAGAGGATTTGCTGGAGCAGGAAATAGAAGGAATGGAGGGTGGTTTCCCCAAGGCAGAGCCCAGCTCAGCTGTTTGCTAGTCATCCCGCACCCCCAGGGCTTCCGCAAAGCGAAAGCAAGCCGCGGTCTCCGGAGCCCCTGTGGCTGGGCATTATCCCAGGTGCTTCCTCGGAGCTCGGTTTAGATGCTTGATCTCACACCAAGCCCCCTCTGTTAGGTAGGGATGAGTATTCTCCCTACGTTCCAGTTGAGGACACCGAGGCTCACAGGTAAATAGCTTGCCTAACCTTTTTGCAATCAGCAAAACTGGTCCTAGCCCAGGAACCCCGGCCCACAGAGTGTCCAGGCCCTAGCCTGGGGATTCTAACAGGGTTCCCAGGACTCTCGGCAGACCCCGGACAGCTGTGGGAGCTAGGAGAGGCCCATACACAGCTAAGAGAGCCTTGCATGGCACCATTCAGGGACCACCGCCTTTCCTGAGGAGGGTAATGAGACAGCCATAAACCGACAAACCCCTGTCCTTGAGGAATCTCCCACAGAGCCTGCTTCCCCTTCCCACTGGCTGAGACTCATGTGACCCAATGGCCGTGGGCTGTCCAGGGCATCCTAGGGGACCAGGCCAGGGTTTGGGGTAACAGAGGGGGCACCCCAAAGCCTCAGGGCTGGGAGTGATCTTACAGGCTGCACCAGCAGGTGACCACAAATCCCTGGGTGGGGTCACAGGGAGGGCCTCATTTCCTCATCAGTGGAGTCAGGAAGGTGCTTTATGAACTGTCCTGTGCTGGGCTAAGCCTGTTAGGGTCCTCTGCTCAGGGGAACTGGAGCATCCTCCTCGACATGTACAGGACACTGTGGTTTTTAGATCCCATCCAGATTTCATAGGTGGACAAATATTCCTTACCTTATTGCTGTAAAAAAAATAATAATAAAAGCACTAAAGCAATTACTGAATTGTTTTTGAAAATAACATGACAGAGAATTTAGAGCCACCTGAGGAAACCAGCAGCCCAGTAGTGTGGAGATGGTCAGCACAGCTTGGGGGCCTCGCAGAAGGTGGCAATTCCTCCGGTTCCCACATAGTGTCACATCCCATGGCATTAGCCTTAGGTGACTGGGCTGGTCCTTTCCTTCCTCAGACACTTGATGACTGCTTGGTCTTGCACAAATCTTTCCCTCAGTTCTCAGCTCCTTTGGGTGGAGAGTGGGAGCCTGTGAGCCTTTGTTGCCCACCCTGGCTGCCCCCAGTCAGCCCCTGGTGTCTTCTTCCCCCTCGGGAAACCCTCTGGGCCACACCGGCTCTCTCCCCCTCCCCCTGCCCAGCTACTAGCATCTCTGGCCTAGACCACAGATACCCTCAGACTGCTCCTAGGCCACATTAGGTCACCTCACATGGCCCTCCCCTATGTGGTTGCCCATAGTATGTCCATAAACCCCCTTCTCAGGAGACAGCTTCCCTGAGCCCTGCTGCCCTGAGGACCCGCCTGCCGTCCAGTGGCATGCCCCTCCCCATCTAGGATGTCTTTCAGGGAAGGTCATCTCCTCTTTTGGCTGTCTTCACCCTCAGTTAGGCTCAGGGGTCACCGCTTGTCATAAGCCAGGAGAGCAAGAACTACAATCACTTGTCCTATCCCCAGCACCTAGCACACAGTAGTCACTCAATAAATACTTGGTCTAATGCCTGTTGAAACATTTATCTGGGAGTAAATGTTTCCAGATGAAAACTGGACTATACTGGTGAAAACACCTTGTAAAAGTACCATGATCAGACGGGTGTGAGGAAGGACTTCCATCCCTGCTGCTGGTATAAAGTCTGCTGAGCAGGATCATGGGGATGAGGACAGGTTGGGGGATGTCCTGCTGGCAGGAAGGCTCGGGTCTGGAGGGGTAGGGAGGCTGGGTGCTCTGGATAAGAAATCCAAGGAAGGGCAGTCTGAGGTGGGAGACAGGATGGGGGAGAGGAGGTGAGAGCACATGGAGTGAGAATCAGATGGAGTCAGTCAGCCTGGGGCTGAGAAGATGCAGCTGGTCTGGCTGGTTTAGGTCCTACCTGACCTTCACCTCATGTCTCCTATTCTTGTTGTTTTGTAAATTCAGCCATAATATACAAGTGTATAGCTTGAGTAGTTTAGGGTTATTGATTCAGGAGATTAACTTTTAAATTAGAAATGTTGTTTTGGGTCATAGGTTATGCCAGTTTATTATGGGTCATGGGTTATGCTGATTATTGTTGTTTAAGATAAGGGTTAATTATTGTTGTTTAAGATAAGGGTTAGAAAGGTTTTTACTTTGAACTTTCACGTATAAAACTATGGTTCTGGAAATGGAAGAACAGTCTTGGAGAGGTTATTCTCATTGCTCTCCAGACAAATAAAGTTTGGTGGACCTATCCCCATCTCTGCATATTGGCTGACAGTGACAAGTGGCCAGACTCTCTTCATCCAGTAACAGAGGCTGGGCTGCCAGGTGGTCTTGTGGCAGGACCTGGGGATGCAGCCTGGCTCTGGGAGAAGGGGCCAGTAAGAAGTTTCAGAGGTGGGAACGGCTGAAGAATTTAAACAATATTTGAAAAAAAGAGATATCTCAGTCAGTGTTGAGGAACTAGCTATAACCTCTTCCTGGCCCCAACCACAGATCTGTGAACTCTGTCTACACCCGAGAGCCCAGTGTCAGAGGCTCAGACGAAGGTGCCACTGCTCCTTGTTTGCGTTGTCAACAGGCAGAGCATGGCTGCAGCGGCTGCCCAGGTCCCAGGGAGCTGCTCACACTTCGGGGCTGGAAATCCCAGGCAGGCACCAGGAGGAGACAAGACTTTTACAAGGCCCCAGAACAGGGAGGATCTAGAGGGCAGAGGGCCGAATCCAGTCCCTAAATGTACCTGTGCGGCAGTGTTGGAGGAAAAATCCAACCCCAATTGTGTGTAGCCAGTGCTTCACAATGGAGACTGACACACAAACCCTGATTCCGGCTGTCCTGGATGCATCAGATGACTGGCCTTCCAGCCTGAGCCCCACGTGATGTCTCTGGCCCGAGTTGCTGCCCCTCCAGGCAGGCACAAGGGCTCTGCCCAGCAGGCCCTTCTCTTACTTATGGGGTCTCCAGGCCTGATAAGGGGGTTGGGGAACTGAGTGCCTGATGCTGGGTGAGCCAATGTCACTCGCAGGGACTCCAGCACCAAATGGGATTACGTCAGTCACCCCCAAGGGCCCTCTCAGGGCCCAACTGTCAGTGACACCCAAGGCTGGATGGCTACTCAGCGTCCAGGGCAGGCTGGCATCAGGCCCATCAGAAGCAGCATGCATTGCCATTCACAAAAGGAACCCCACGGAGGCTCTCCTGTACTGAGACTGGACTGGGGGCACCATACCCCACCCTCCAGTTCCTCCAGAGGAAATGTTCCCTCCCCCAGCAGTCTCAGCCCAGCATCAGCTACTGTTATCCCCATCTCACATATGGGGAAACCGAGGCAGGGTGGAGTCAAGTTGCTTGATTAAGGGCTACAAGCTAGAAAGTGGTGGAGCTGGGACACTGTAGTTTTGGTAAGACCAGGGCCACTTTCTAGAACTTCGCTGTTCTAGGCATGGGAAACATGGTGCCTGCCAGCAGGGGGAGCCCACAGCCCCATACCAGCTCTTCCACTTCACTCATGTGCTCCTGGGCTGGTAGCAGCCTGGAGATTTGAACACTGACTGTCTTCCCTTGAGTCTCTTCACTGTCTGGGGCCTGTCCCCATCCTGCTGGTCTAGTCTTCTGCACTTATGACATGCCCCCCTTTTGTTCTGGATCCCAGTACCAGGGGAGAGTGAGGGGGCTCTGGGCAGCAGGAGCCTTGTCTCAAGACACCACAACCTCATAGATGCATCCCCAGTTTGCTTGGGCTCGTCTAGGGTGGGTATTTCATAGCCCCAATCCTAGGCTACTACCAACAAGTGCATCCGTGGTACCATGAGGTCATTATCACAGCTTGAGCACAACATTGTAGAGACAGCCAGGCTGCAGAGTCCCCAGAACTGGGCTGCTTCCAGCTCTGCTACCTCCTCCGAGTAAAAGTTGTTAGAATCAAAACAGGGCTGGGTCTGGTGGCTCACGCCTGTAATCCTAGCTCTCTGGGAGGCCGAGGCGGGTGGACTGCTTGGGCTTGGGACTTTGAGACCAGCCTGAGCAAGAGTGAGACTCCATCTTTACTAAAAATAGAAAAAATTAGCTGGGCATTGTGGTGGGCGCCTACAGTCCCAGCTACTTGGGAGGCTGAGGCAGGAGGATCGCTTGAGCCCAAGACTCTGAGGTCGCTGTGAGCTATGATGCCACTATGGCACTCTACTCCAAGGTGGCAGAGTGAGACTCTGTCTCAAAAAATAAAAAAAAGAATCAAAACAAAAATTACTTATGTTTAAAAAAAAAAGAATCGAAACAGAATCACTTATGTTTAAAAAACAACAGCAAACTTTGACAAATGAGAGCTAG